ACTGTAATGCTTAGTTGACAACCATTTTAATCATTTATATATGTAAATAGATTTATACATTTTTTAAAAAGAATCAGTTGAACTTCATAGTATTTGTAATTGTATTATTCATGGGTACAAGATTTACTAAGCATAACATTCTCTGGATACCAAAAAGTACTGTGCAACCTGATTGTGACTGAAACGACTAATGTGTTGTATAAATGGATGTGCGTGGTACGTGTGTGAAAGTTAATTTTTGTAAACTTAATGTAGTTTATATTTTGGTGTGCAGAGGCTTCTCTCAAGTCCTGTGAGTGTTTTATGAGCACAAAATGAGTGACGGCATAAAAGGAAAGTACTTTATATTTTGTGTACTGAGTTAAAATAATTTTAAGGTACATAATAAATATTTAACCTTCAATGGATTTATTAACCAGAAACCTTACACTCCGAGATGCAATCCTTTTTTAATTTGCACCATGTGTTCTGTGTGTGCTAAAAAAGGTAGAACAGTAGATATTGCAACAAGACCAACAAAATATAAGTTGGTACCTAATTATTTTTTAAATACTGTAGCCCATAATATATCAATGGAGCTGACTATTTGATAAAGAATACCTTATAGAGGTGTGAAATAGAACTAAATTAGTATAGCACAGCATTAGTTTCAATTTAAACAATACTTCACTTAATTTAATGTGAGCTTTTTAAATTTATAAACTAAATCTGTTCTCTTCTGTCCTATGAATTGCTCAATAACATTATTATTTCTGGGTTCAACGGAAGACATGGAAATGGTATAATATTTATTAGTTAATTAAGATGATAACGAGTAATTATCAAAAGATGGCTTCGAGCTGAGAAGACTATATAGTACCGTCAGTGTCACCGAGTATACAAAAGGCAGTAAATATCATGAGAACGAAAAAAAAAAAAAAAGGCGAATGATATTAAAGGTACAGTGTATTGGATTCACCAAGGAACCTGTTGTGCAACTTTTAGTGAGTGGTGGATTTTGACTCCAAGGTCCTTTCCTTCGTCAATATGCTGGAAAGCAATGCTATTAATTTGATAGTCGTGGCGTGGGTTGTTATGCTCCCTATGCATAATCGTGCATTTGTCGATATTACAAGCATTTGCCAGTCTTCTGACCATTTGTGGAGTTCGTGTAGATCTCTTTGTAATGCTTCAATATCCTTATCATTTCCCTCTTTATCATAAAACTTTGTAATCTGCAAATTTGATGATGTGGTTTGTAATATTCTCATCTATGTCATTGATGTATATGACAAAATGGGGGCCCACATTTGCAACAGACTTGGAAATTGCAACCGAATTCAATAGTTTTTTTTCAACAATTGGTGCAAACTTTGCCAGAAAAGACTAGAGACCCAGACACATGTTACTACATATCTCACAGGCAGTTATTCTAACTCTATTACTTTTACCAGTTGGCCTGACAGACATTATATCCATAATTCAATCACTTAAAACCAAAGCTGGGAACATTAACGAAATACTATCTATGATATATAAGAATGCCGCACCCTTGCTCTTGCACTACCAATAGCTGTTATTCAACAAATCTCTAGTGTCATAGTTTTCCTGATATCCTTAAAAAAGCAAGAGTGACGCTAGTTAATAAAGGAGGCGAGACAACAGACAAACAATTACAGACCGATATCAAATCTACCTATACTTTCAAAAATATTTGAAAAAATTACAGCATTGTATTTACAAACAGCTCTACTCCTACTTTGTAAAACACAAACTTACATTAAATATAGAAAATACCTACTACATTCAAATTTTTAGTAAATCATCAAATCAGATTCAACTTCAGATAGACAATGTTAATATTACCAATAAAAATGATTTAGATTTAGATTTAGATTTTTTATTCAGGTAAGGGTATATACATAATGTTGGATTTAAAGATAGACATAGTACATACAATACCTAAAGCCACTAGTACGCATAGCGTTTCAGGCAAATCGACAATATACATAGCCAAGAGACTTAACTTCAGCACCCCCACATACAAAACATAGCCAAAAAAGTCTCAAAAAAAGTCGGTATACTTTCTAAAATCAGATACTATGCTCCCCACTCAGCTCTCTTATTATACTACGCACTAATCTATCCCTATCTTACATACGGTATGTGTGCATGGGGTTCAACCATGGGCGTGACAGCTGAGTGGACAGCGCTCGGGATTCGTAGTCCTGAGGTTCCGGGTTCGATCCCCGGCGGAGGCAGAAACAAATGGGTAGAGTTTCTTTCGCCCGCATGCACCTGTTCACCTAGCAGTAAATCAATACCTGGAAGTTAGACAGCTGCTACGGACTGCTTCCTGGAGGGAGGGGGGGTGTAACAAAAAAGGAAGCCTGGTCGAGGACTGGGCCGCGGGGACGCTAAGCCCCGAAATCTTCTCAAGATAACCTCAAGACGGTCCGTCTAATTACCAAAAACTACCACATACTACACACGCTTCAGAAAACTTCCTGGCAATACGTTAGTAATGAATAAATATGATATATTTACTCATTACAATGTTGGTGCTGAACATACAACATGAAAAAACATAATTTTAATCCGAAAAAGTATCTTTTTATAAAGAAATTAGACGAAAATAAAAAGCTGGTGACGCCAAATCAAGTCGACGATCCAAGCTTCGGTTAGGTTAGGTTAGGTTTGGTTAAGTTAGGTTAGGTTAGGTTAGGATAGGTTAGGATAGGTTAGGTTAGGTTACATCAGCCTTACTTAATATATCATATTTATTCATTACTAACGTATTGCCAGGAAGTTTTCTGAAGCGTGTGTAGTATGTGGTAGTTTTTGGTAATTAGACGGACCCCCTCAAGAATCTCAAGACGTTCAAAAGTTAAATAAAAAAAAGTACATAATTTCATCTTCATAGTTTCCTACCTTGTACTTCACACTCTCACTGTATCTTGTACTACCCACTTCCCCAATATTAGTACCGTACTTAAGACATATATCCTTACCAGTGTAATCACCGCTGTCAACTTATGTCGTAGATATTTGTTGGGTATATGTAGACCTTGCTGCCATGTGCCTTTTCATCTTACCTGATGAGTTGTATTAAGGACCTGTCCGAAACGATATGCGTATTATGTGGTTTTAAATGAATGTACAAATACCAGTTTTATCTGTTATTACCAACCCATTGTATGAATTTACCAGTTTTATCTGTGAATAAATTATTATTATTATTATTATTATTGAAGACGTCCTTTGTCTTTTTCCTTTGCCCGAAAAGGAATAGGTGTGTATTAGTGGCTTTAGGCATTGTATGTACTAGCTCTATCTATAAATTCAACATAAGAACATAAGAACAAAGGTAACTGCAGAAGGCCTATTGGCCCATACGAGGCAGCTCCTATTCTATAACCACCCAATCCCACTCATATACTTGTCCAACCCGTGCTTGAAACAATCGAGGGACCCCACCTCCACAATGTTACGCGGCAATTGGTTCCACAAATCAACAACCCTGTTACTGAACCAGTATTTACCCAAGTCTTTCCTAAATCTAAACTTATCCAATTTATATCCATTGTTTCGTGTTCTGTCCTGTGTTGATACTTTTAATACCCTATTAATATCCCCCCGGTTATGTCCATTCATCCACTTGTAAACCTCTATCATGTCACCCCTAACTCTTCGCCTTTCCAGTGAATGCAACTTAAGCTTTGTTAATCTTTCTTCATATGAAAGATTTCTAATTTGGGGAATTAACTTAGTCATCCTACGCTGGACACGTTCAAGTGAATTTATATCCATTCTATAATATGGCGACCAAAACTGAACTGCATAATCTAAATGGGGCCTAACTAGAGCAAGATATAGCTTGAGAACCACACCAGGTGTCTTGTTACTAACGCTGCGATTAATAAATCCAAGTGTCCGATTTGCCTTATTACGAACATTTATGCATTGATCCTTTTGTTTTAAATTCTTACTAATCATAACTCCCAGATCCCTTTCGCAATCCGACTTCGCAATCACAACACCATCTAGCTCGTATCTTGTAACTCTATCATCATTACCTAACCTCAGAACTTTACATTTATCAGCATTAAACTGCATCTGCCAATCCTTTGACCATTTCAAAACCCTATCTAGATCAACTTGAAGTGATAGTGAGTCCTCCTCCGAATTAATTTCCCTACCGATTTTCGTATCATCGGCAAATTTGCAAATGTTGCTACTCAAACCTGAATCTAAATCATTTATATATATTATAAACAACAGAGGTCCCAGGACAGAGCCTTGAGGCACTCCACTTACAACATTTTCCCACTCTGACTTGATTCCATTTATACTAACTCTCTGTTTCCTTTGGTATAGCCATGCCCTAATCCAGCTTAATATAGCACCCCCAATACCATGAGACTCTATTTTTTTAATCAGTCTTTCATGTGGCACTGTATCAAAAGCTTTGCTAAAGTCAAGGTATACAACATCGCAATCCTTACCACTATCAACTGCCTCAACAATGCTAGAATAAAAAGATAACAAATTTGTTAAACATGAACGGCCATTTATAAAACCATGTTGCGACTCAATTATTAATTTATGTTTTTCAAGATGAAGACGAATTTTATTTGCTATTATAGATTCGAGTAACTTTCCCACAATAGACGTTAGGCTAATTGGTCGATAGTTAGACGCAAGTGATCTATCTCCTTTCTTGAAAACTGGTATCACATTAGCAACTTTCCAAAACTCTGGCACTCTGCCTGACTCTATTGATTTATTAAATATGGTTGACAGTGGGTCGCAAAGCTCCTCTTTGCATTCTTTAAGCACCCTAGCAAACACTTCATCCGGCCCTGGGGATTTGTTTGGTTTGAGTTTTACTATTTGTTTAAGAACATCCTCCCTGGTAACTGCTAAACTCGTCAACCTGTCCTCGTCCCCACCCACATAGACTTGTTCGGCTGAAGGTGAGTTTTCAACATTATGTTTGTAACTCATGTATGTACTTTTACCTGAATAAACATTTTGATTTTGATTTTTTTGGCGTGTTTTTCTGCTTGTAGCCCCCTGGCTGGTCAGTTGTCTCTTCCCAGCTCCTTTGCCATTTTCTCTGACATCCGAAGTGTTGTAGGGGGGACTGAAGTCATCTACAGCACTGTTACCCCGGCCTGACGAGGTAACAGAGCGTCCAGGAATCGGGCAGAGCGGTGCTTGGTAAGACTTGTGCGACCCTCCATGTTGATATAGAAACAGCAGTCATAACAGCTAACCAAACACTTAGAATAATCAAGTGTACCTTTGACTTTAAGGAAAAGAAGGTGGTGATTCAACTGTATAAATCTCTGGTGCGTCCCCACCTGGATTATTGTATCCGATAATGAGGACCTTATCACCAGAAAGATATCGCTGCTTTAGAGAAATTTACCTGATTTTTACCTGAGAGCCATTAACACTAATGGCCCAGACGGAGATAGGAAGCCAGCGGCTTGTCGAATGTCCCCCCCCCCCAATTTGCCTTGGTGATCTTTTCTAGTTGTACTTTTAATTAAAAGCTAACACAGTTTTGGCATTTACGGTTTCAGCGGGTAGGTAGTTCCATGGGTTAATAACCCTGTGGGTAAAAAAGCTTCTCTTGTTTTCAGTCCCACATTGTGACTTGTTGAGCTTTAAACCGTTGAAAAGTACAACACCGGGTGATAACAAATCATTCCAAAACAAAGTCATTTCACGTATCAGGAACGATTGATGGCCTTACGGCTAACAACAATGCAAACCAGTTATGACAGGGCTGATCTCGTCGAAACCTTTAAAATACTGAACAGTTTGGAGGATGTTGATTTAGGCAGTTTCTTCAAAAGGTCAGATGTAACACAAAGGGCAACAGTTCCAGGATCAACAAATCACAACGCAGGACTGAAAACAGGCTTTTTCACCCACAGGGTTATAAACCCATAGAACCGCCTACCCTCCGAAGCCGTAGATGCCAAGATTCTATTAAATGTTAAAATCCAGCTAGAAAAAATTATCAGGGCAAATGGGAGGACCTTTGACAAGCTGTCGGCTTCCTGTCCTCATCGAGGCCACTAGAGTATTAGTGGCCCTCAAGTAAACTGAGGTAAATTCAGGTAAAAATAGTGCTGGAATTTGAAAATTCTGGAGCATTTAAACATAACTACAGGCTTTCGCCTTTTGACCTTTTCCAGGATATAATATGTTAGAATCTACTGTAATAACCACTTGACGTGGCTTAAATAAGGTGTGAACCATTCATTAAGCCCTACATTATGAGGCTTCTAGTGATGGGAGCCTCGTAATAAGATATGGTAGTAGACTTTAATATGGAATGAAAGAGTGGTCCTCCATTCTCAGTACGCTGCTCTGTCTTCTTTTAATTTGTACCCAAAGAGACTTGCAAGATTTAAAGGAATTGAATAACAAATTGACATGTACGCCATATATTGATAATAAAATATACTGGGACTACATATAATCAGTAAATCATCAGAGAAGAGAATTCGCCTCGCTAACTCCTATCGATTCTTGCCATTGATTGAATGAATGGACTGCCTCAGGGAGTACACTTTTCCCAATCTTAACCCCAATTTTAACTCAACGCTCTGGCGGGGAACAAACCCACTTAGAAATTAAAAAATTAAATTAAATTCAAGCTTAATTTACTTGTGTGGGGATGGGTGATCCCTCAAGAGAAAATGCGGCCATTGAGAAACTCTCTTGGATGATAAAGATGTTAGGGTAAGGATTAGCGAGTGTTATGGCAAGATGGCCTCCCTTCCATCTCCCACCCAGGTAGTCATTTCCTTGTAAGATTTACCCCGTTATTACCTTTCCCCGCGGCTGTGGCACGCCCGATTTAAAGTTCAGGCTTAGGCAAAGGCTGGAGGTGAGGCTGGTGCCAATTGAGCCGCCAGAGAGAGGAAGATAAGGAAGCTGAGGCCAGACCCGCCTACCTGTTTGGGTCGATGGTAGGGGGCAGTGTATGGGCCAAACGTGTCATGTTTTACCTAATATTGTTGATATTTAGACGTCTTGGAGGGTTATAATGGCGGTAATTGGTCAGGCGGTGGGTGAGGGTCAAATGGGGTGGAAGGTTGTTACGGTCGGGAGAGTTGTTAAGACGGAGGCGGGTGTCTTAAGGAGGTGATGGACTGTCACTAGTGTCAAGAGGGTTGTGTTTACAGCCTCTCAGGGTGTTGCTGGTGTTTACTGCCTCTCAGGGTGTTGCTGGTGTTTACTGCCTCTCGGGGTGTTGCTGGCTAATGCCTCTCAGGGTGTTGCTGGTGCTTACTGCCTCTTGGGGTGTTGCTGGTGTTTACTGCCTCTTGGGGTGTTGCTGGTGTTTACTGCCTCTCAGGGTGTTGCTGGTGTTTACTGCCTCTCAGGGTGTTGCTGGTGTTTACTGCCTCTCAGGGTGTTGCTGGTGTTTACTGCCTCTCAGGGTGTTGCTGGTGTTTACTGCCTCTCGGGGTGTTGCTGGCTAATGCCTCTCAGGGTGTTGCTGGTGCTTACTGCCTCTCAGGGTGTTGCTGGTGCTTACTGCCTCTTGGGGTGTTGCTGGTGCTTACTGCCTCTTGGGGTGTTGCTGGTGTTTACTGCCTCTCAGGGTGTTGCTGGTGCTTACTGCCTCTTGGGGTGTTGTTGGTGTTTACTGCCTCTCAGGGTGTTGCTGGTGCTTACTGCCTCTCGGGGTGTTGCTGGCTAATGCCTCTCAGGGTGTTGCTGGTGCTTACTGCCTCTTGGGGTGTTGCTGGTGTTTACTGCCTCTCAGGGTGTTGCTGGTGCTTAATGCCTCTTGGGGTGTTGCTGGTGTTTACTGCCTCTCAGGGTGTTGCTGGCTAATGCCTCTCAGGGTGTTGCTGGTGCTTACTGCCTCTTGGGGTGTTGCTGGTGTTTACTGCCTCTCAGGGTGTTGCTGGTGCTTAATGCCTCTCGGGGTGTTGCTGGTGTTTACTGCCTCTCGGGGTGTTGCAGGTGTTTACTGCCTCTCGGGGTGTTGCTGGTGTTTACTGCCTCTCGGGGTGTTGCTGGTGTTTACTGCCTCTCGGGGTGTTGCTGGTGTTTACTGCCTCTCGGGGTGTTGCTGGTGTTTACTGCCTCTCGGGGTGTTGCTGGTGTTTACTGCCTCTCGGGGTGTTGCTGGTGTTTACTGCCTCTCGGGGTGTTGCTGGTGTTTACTGCCTCTCGGGGTGTTGCTGGTGTTTACTGCCTCTCGGGGTGTTGCTGGTGTTTACTGCCTCTCGGGGTGTTGCTGGTGTTTACTGCCTCTCGGGGTGTTGCTGGTGTTTACTGCCTCTCGGGGTGTTGCTGGTGTTTACTGCCTCTCGGGGTGTTGCTGGTGTTTACTGCCTCTCGGGGTGTTGCTGGTGTTTACTGCCTCTTGGGGTGTTGCTGGTGTTTGTTGCTTCAGTGTTGCTGGTGTTGTTAGCAAGCTTCATTGATGTTACTCTTGTCAGTGTTGTGTTTAGAGCCTTGATGTTGCTAATGTCAAGGTGGTGTATACTGCCTCGGTATCACTATTGTGTCGGGGCCGTGTTTGCAGCCTCGGTGTCACCAGTGTCGGGGCCGTGTTCGCAGCCTCGGTGTCACCAGTGTCGGGGCCGTGTTCGCAGCCTCGGTGTCACCAGTGTCGGGGCCGTGTTCGCAGCCTCGGTGTCGCCAGTGTCGGGCCGTGTTTGCAGCCTCGGTGTCGCCAGTGTCGGGCCGTGTTTGCAGCCCTGGTGTCACCAGTGTCGGGGCCGTGTTCGCAGCCTCGGTGTCACCAGTGTCGGGGCCGTGTTCGCAGCCTCGGTGTCACCAGTGTCAGGGCCGTGTTTGCAGCCTCGGTGTCACCAGTGTCGGGCCGTGTTTGCAGCCTCAGTGTCGCTAGTGTCGGGGCCGTGTTCGCAGCCTTGGTGTCACCAGTGTCGGGGCCGTGTTCGCAGCCTCGGTGTCACCAGTGTCGGGGCCGTGTTCGCAGCCTCGGTGTCACCAGTGTCAGGGCCGTGTTTGCAGCCTCGGTGTCACCAGTGTCGGGCCGTGTTTGCAGCCTTGGTGTCACCAGTGTCGGGTCGTGTTTGCAGCCTCTGTGTCACCAGTGTCGGGGCCGTGTTCGCAGCCTCGTGTCACCAGTGTCGGGGCCGTGTTTGCAGCCTCGTGTCACCAGTGTCGGGGCCGTGTTCGCAGCCTCGTGTCACCAGTGTCGGGGCCGTGTTCGCAGCCTCGTGTCACCAGTGTCGGGGCCGTGTTTGCAGCCTCATGTCACCAGTGCTGGGGCTGTGTTCGCAGCCTCGTGTCACCAGTGTCGGGGCCGCGTTCGTAGCCTTGGTGTCACCAGTGTCGGGGCCATGTTCACAGCCTCGGTGTCGCCAGTGTCGTGGTCATGTTCACAGCCTCGGTGTCGCCAGTGTCGGGGCCACGCAGGGCTGGGATAGGTTGGCGTGAGGCTGGATGCTGTTGTGATTGGTTTGGGGGGGGGGGGAAGTAATCCTTTAAGTAGGCAAGCACTATCTAGACAGGAGGATGGCTAGTTGATATAGAATGTCGAGGGTGTGCAAGTGTCTAAAATGTCATGGTATGACTAATATAATTTGACTTCTCCTAATTGTGTGTTCTAAATCATGCCAATATCTGTCCTGCTACTCAAATGTTAAACCCACACTTTGTTTTTACAATAGATGTATCACGTTTCAAATCGTAAGCTAAATGGCACTTACTTTATGCCAAAAATATAAGTTTGAATTAGTTGGCAATACATACACCTGTTTAGTCCAGCCATTATTGTTATGATTTGCACAAGTTCTTATGGATAAATTTTTGGTTCTGATAATGACACTGTCCACATGCTATGCCAGGGGTCTACCTACCTTGTGTAGCTTCTGGGGATCAACAGCCCCATGGCCCAGTCTCCGACCAGACATCCCTGGTTGGATCCCTGGAGGTCAAGGAGGCCTGGTCGGGAAATGTAAAAGTCCAACATCTCTTATTTCACATATACATCAGAGGAAACATAACAAATATTACCAGTTGTGGGTTGCCTTGTATGTCTGTTGCCACATCAAGAGCTAAGCTGAATGCAAGATGTTTAATCATTTTGTATTTTGTATGCAATATCTGCACCGATACGAGAGATACACCTCTTTGTGGTGTGGCAGGAAACTGGTGTTAGTGCTGTTAGTCGCTGAAGTTTTGTGTTATTTGGATCTAACACTGTGTCTGCTGGCCATTTATTGATGATTTTAACTTATTTAACTTATTTTTCCTTAAATCTGATTTAGGTGGGTAATCATAGGAAAAATTGTTGTGATTAGTTTCACAGTGGTGTTTCAAGTTTGTAGTTTTGTAATGACTGAGTGACACTTAGCAGATAAGTCACAAAGGTTTACCTCTTTTTAACTGTGAATGCAAAACTCTTCCTCCAACTCTGGCTGAAAATTTTTATCTTCATATTTTTGTTTCTTACAATTTGTTGAAGCCATCTTCCTTCACAAAGTTTTCACAGACACTTTAAATAACCTACTTGATACCTGCATGATGGGGTTCTGGGAGTTCTTCTATTCCCCAAGCCCGGCCCGAGGCCAGGCTTGACTTGTGAGAGTTTGGTACACTAGGCATACATAAATAAGATTTATGTATGAAGTGTACCAGCTATTTCTGCTCTGTTCAGCATCAGCACTTACACTGACCTCCCTTCCATAGGTATCGGAACTCTTTATATAGCTGCCTGAACATTTCTTGTTTTGCATTTGGGTCAAAATTTCAAGAATATTTGTATTCTCTAGAAGTTTTCCACAAGCCACATATTAGAGGTCAAAGAGCCACATGCGGCTTGTGAGCTGCGGTTTGGCCACCCTTGTACTATGCTGTTATTGTCGCTCTTGTGTAATTAATAATGTACTGGAGTTTTTATCTAAACTTTGCCAATTATGAATGGTACAGTACAATCATCTATGAATGAAGCTATTGATTTCATTTCTAATAAAAGCTATTATTTAGTTTTTATTGGTTTTTAATTATTTTTATACTGAAATGCATTTGAGTTCATTATGTATATGGGAAAATGCCCCCGTTTTCTTAAATAGTAAAAATAGAGAAAACCAAATTATTGCTATTCCTCCCATCCTCCCCTTACATTTTTTGTATTAATTTTTAGTGATGAGCTCTCTTGAATAATTCCAATATAATTTTGAGCTCCTGTACTTGAACCATTTTTTTTATTAAAACAATGAACACAATGTATTTGAATTTTGATTTATGGTGGAGATTTTTAATGGTATCACTGGAGGAAAGATCATGTAGATTTCTTAGTAAAAATTAATCAGTTTTTAGCCCCAAATGGAAGCTCTATAGGGTTAAATAACGGTAATACAAGTACTGTACTTCTTCTTCCTGTATTGTTCTTGTTTCCTTTGTTTCAGTTAGAATAGATGGGGGTTGCCAGGTCATTAGTTCACTTATTATATATTCATTGACAAAGACTTTAGCATGGCAAGTGAGAGAGGGAATTATCAGAGGGGGAAAGCACCAAGCCATTCCTTCTATATAGCACTGGAAAGGGGTCAGTATAAGGATTTGGGATGGGACGGGGAAAAGGAATGGTGCCCAACCACTTGTGGACGGTCGGGGATTGAGTGCCGACCTGCATGATGCGAGACAATCGCTCTACCATCCAGCCCATGTTGTTGGACACCATTACCATGCCTTTTCCACTGTCCCCATCCCAAATCCTCATCCTGACCCCTTCCAAGTGCTAGTCGTAATGGCTTGGCGCTTTCCCCTGATAATTCTCTCCCACACCTAAAATGCTAGTCGTTGTCAATGAGTTGTGTTTTGTAAAGGACATGTGTTGTTACAGTATGTGACGACTCTTTTTATAAATTTCTCTCGGATTTGTCCTGTCTGAATCCCTTGGGTTATTGCTACTCCTTTCGAACGACTGCTCTGTCTTAGATCTGTGGCATTTGTCTAGATCAGAGACTGGATTTAATTGTTCTATGTCATCACTACTTTATAAGGTAAGAACATTTCTATACTGAATTTTGTTGATTTTGTTCTGGTGCATAGCTTGTTGCGTAAGAGTCTGTTGAATGTTAGCAAGCGTTTTATTGGTATCTAAGGAATAAGACCTCTTCTACCTTATTTAACCCAATGTAATGCTATAAATATGCTCTGATTAACTTTTTAATTTGTGGTGGTTTTGTGTCTTAAACCCTCCTCCTTTTTTTAAATAGAGGCATAAGTGAGCAGGACTTTAAAGAATTACGATGATTTAATTAATATACTGTAATTCATTTAATTTTGGAGGTTCCATTTTGATATTGAACTATAAGTTGAAATTTCACACAAGCTCCTTTTTCAGTATCTAATGGGAATATGGTGATCATTTCCATTATAGTTTTCAGTTGAATGATCCTATCAATTGCACAAGAAAATGTTAGTCTCAAGTCATGTATGTAAATACAAAAGCCAAATTGCTTAAATAAAAAGTCAAGTTTTTTTTTTAAATCTTTCAAAATCTGTTTTTAATTGATTAAATAAAACCTTGTATTGTTTAACTACTGGTGCTGCATATAACTTGTTATATTAATTGTATTTAGAAAAATAAGAAAGATCTTTATTAAAGTAATACTGTAATATATATCCCGGACACTGGAGTAACATAAGGAGAAAATTGTGGAGCTCGTAGTACGTACGTCTTATGCCGCTTTGTTATATTCCCAGTTGGAGAGACCATAGACGAGTGAAACTGACTGACACTTACTCATTGTGACCACTGTTCGTCTGCTTGGATAGGTAAGGTGAATAAACATTCTGGTAAATAACCAACAAAATACATCTTCCTTTTACCATAGTGTTGTCAACATCTCTCTCTCTCTCCATGTTCAATATGTTTTGTAAGTCCATCTCTGGCTGGAAATATGGTATGGCGACAGATGATGATGATGATACCTGTAGTTGCAGTAAGATACAGCTGTGAAGATTACTAGCCAGTATCTTGTAATTTTTTGCTCGAAGCCAATCAAAACTACCGCTTAGTTGCCGGTTCATTTACACATTCTTATGGGTGCCACTCTTCTCTCTTGAGTGTAAATATACTGTGCTTATTATTTTTAAATTAAGAAGTTGCTCATAAGATTCTAAATATATACTGTATTTGAGTTTGATCCTTTACAAAATTGGGGAGAAATGTAATAATGAAAAGTATGTAGAGCTTTCTATAATGTACAGGGAAAAATCTTTGACATTAAATTTAACTAGCAAAGTTTTATTGATTACCTGGTTGATGGGGTTCTGAGAGTTGTTCTACTCCCCAAGCCCGACCGAGGCCAGGCTTGACTTGTAAGAGTTTGGTCCACCAGGAAAAAATTAAAAAGAAAATTAAAAAGTTCCACAATTTTAACCCCACAAATTAATAAAAATTATTAAAAGAAAATTAAAAAGTTTCCTTTTGGAGACGTATACTATAGTTCCGGAAATATTTCTTATAATCACTGGGAGGACGTGAACAACCATGAACCACTGATGTTCATACAATGTTCTCTGATTGTGCCCATGGCGACTCTGTTCTTCACTGGTTCTATTCTGCATTTCCTTCTATTTTGTTCACTCCAGTACAGTATGTTGTTGATCAGGTATCCTTTGAAAGGTGCTTGTCGAGTTCTCTTTTGAACTGTGTACTAAGTTGGTCAGTTATGCCTCGTACATGTAGGGTAAGAGTGTTGAAAAGTCTTGGACCTTTGATGTTGATTGAGTTCTCTCTCAGCATGCCTATTGCATCTCTGCTCTTCAGTTTAGTTCATATATTATGCACCCCATACCCATCGGTGGGTGGTAGTGGAAAGGGTTCCAGGGGCACATAATGAACTCGGGGGACTGAACCCCACAATTCATTTAGCTATGCAAGTTACAATCTTGATGAGCTAACTTGCTTAGCTAAATGAATTATGGGATTCAGTCCCTGAGTCTGCTCACTGCTCTTCAGTGAGGCTATTTTGCACATCCTGCCATGCCTTCTGGTCTCTTGTGGTCTTATTTCTGTGTGCAGATTTGTAATCAATCTTTCTAATACTTTCCAAGTGTAGATTATAACGTATCTCTCCCGCCTGCATTCTAGGGAATATAGATTTAAGGGGACAGGAAAATTGATTCTCAAACTTCCTGAACCTACCTTATATTCAGCGAAACAACCTAAAGAGACAAAGAAAATAGTTTGAAATCTGTGAAAAAATCGGCCAAAACAAATTTCACAGGTTCTGCCACCTGTGGCTGAGTTACACGTTGACTAATTTCTTTCCAACTTCACATATGTAATGACGGGTATGCATTCTCCAAGATGTAGAAGCCACAACAAAATTAGATAAGAAAATAAGGAGAGAGAAAATAAATATCCCCCCCCCAAAAAAAAAAAAAAAAAAAAAATATATATGTATATATATAAAGTTATTATGGTATATTATGAATTATTATGGTACATTATGAGTTCAGTGTTGGGCACCATACTACAGAGTGGACATCAATTTAGAAAATGTATAAGAGGGGGTGATCAAGTTCAGCCATGCAAAATAGAATGCATAACAATGGTTACAAATTGGGTAATTTTAGATTCTGAGCAGACCTTGGTAATTAATAGTTAGGGAATAAGCTTGTTGATTTTTCAAACATTGCTGTTAATATGTGGTGGAGAACATACTGTGTTAAATTTCAGTAGTGCTACAATTGTTTGGTTCTGTATAAATAGTGCTCTCTTGTGGGCCAAAAGGCTGTAGATATACATACTGAAAAGCTGTTTATTGAATCATGAGGTTTAACATTGGCATAATTTCAACCCGGCATAACTGTAAGCTGATGCGTAGGAATACAGCCAGCTATTTTTAAGCAACCTATCTGACTCTGACCTTTGTTCAGATATTGCTGAATTGTTATGTTTGGGACTAAATGTTGATGCAAGGGGAGGGGGTGTATGGGACCATAAAGGGACGCGTATGTGAGAGAGCGAAGGAGGGGGGATGGGGAGAGCAAATAGTAAATTAACAGTTACGTACATGATATAATTTTTCATTTGCAGGTGGCGGGAGACCAGACAGGAATCTTCGAGGCATTGTACAAGAAAATAGACCCAACTTGTTCAGGCACAATCCAAGCTGGTCCTGCGGCCAATTTCCTCAAGAAATCGGGACTAAATGATAACATCCTTAGTCGGGTGAGTTTAGTATTAATAATTCGAGAATTGTGTAATGTGGAGAGAGAAATTTACTTCCGTTACAGTAGCTCTTTCTGGATGGTTTGAATGGTATTTTCCCTGTACTCGGATAGCTCCACACCTTGGTAGTAGTTGGTAAATGGAATGCATTAGGAAGTGATGTGATAGAGGCTGACTCCATACACAATTTTAAGTGTAAATATGATAGAGCTCGAGAAACTCCAGAATCTGTACACCAGTAGATTGACGGTTGATAGGCAGGAGTAAAGAGCCGAAGCTGAAAGCCACACCACTCCTTAAATTACATGCACACATGCACATATAATAGAACAATACATTCCCTTTAATATAAGAATATCACCCCTTAATCAGCTGACCAGTGCAACCCCCCCCCCCCCCCCCAATGAATTTTAACCCTCAAACCGCTAGGGGCCCAAATGGAATTCACACCCACAGGCGCAACAAAAAAAAAAAAAAATCCAAAAAAATCTTTCGTCTTATAGAAGTGTTCATTTTTGTTCCCTGATCACGGAAAAAATAACAAAAAAATCGTAGGTGGCATATTTTAGCCGCAATAGGGTAGGGAAGTGTGGCAAGAAAGGGGCGTTGGCAGAGCCTTCACCAGACGAGATCTACTCCGCCCGAGCTGTCAGACGGCAGTTGCCACAAATATATTATTACCTAATTATTTCAATGTCTCTGTTTGATTTTTTCTTAGTTTTTTTGCAGTAATATTATTCCATACAGTGAATTGTGGTATATTTATATTATAAAATGTGTGAACCATCGCTGTACTCAAAATTATGGTGTGCACATTAGTGATTCAATTATTATGTTATAAAACAATAAACAAATAGTTTTGCTGTAGTTACACTATATACACAGGTTATATATAAGTATTTGCATGTTTTGTACACCATAACGAACTACTAAGTTGGTCTTGTGAGTCAAAAAGCAACGAGGAGTGACCGCCAAACACCAGCGAGCCACTCACTGCCACTCCCTCCCTCAACACTACCTCACTCACCCTCATTCACCTCCCACAATACTCTTTCTGTATTTATTCACTATACACAGACTTATATATACGTATTTACATGTTTTGTTCACCATAACTGTACATCTAAACTTGTATGGTGAGTAAAGGCCATAAGACATAGCTACTCACACAGTCAGCTGATCGGCGGCCGCCCTCAAGGCCAGACGCACTAATATTTGTCCTTCAACAATATTGTTTGTGGTGTTATTACGCTATATACACACATTACATATAAGTATCTACCTGTTTTATTCACCATACCTGAACAAATAAGCTGGTATGGTGCCCAAAGACCATAGTGGCCATCAGTAAACAACATGCCAAGTCGTGCAGACGACGCTCCTCCCTCACCAAAATGGCGGCTCCCAACCTACTCCTCTCGCTGTTATCTCACACTATACACACGTTATATATAAGTATCTACATTTGTGTTCACCATATCGAACCACTAAGCTGGTATGGTGAGTGCAGTCAATAAATGGTGGCCACACACAGTCAGAAAACGACGCCACAACCTCCCTCCCACAGCCTTACTCCTCCCTCCATGGAGCACAGCGCTAAATATCACCACAATCCTGCTATTATCAGAATCCTGGTCAGTTTTATCACAGTCAGAGGGCTTCAGTAATACTATCACTGCTAAATAATAGCAGTATCATTTATATTATGGTATTTGTAGGCGATGCTGTGGTCACAAGCTGAACAGCGGTGCTGTGAGCTCATGCTGCGTGCGCCAGCCTTGGTGGCTTGCTCAATACTGACGCTGTAACACCCAAGAATGTTGGCCTGGATTTTTTTTCTAGGTGGCATCTGGCAACTGTCGGTCGTGGCTGTACTATAGCTGCCCCTATCCCAGGCGGGGCGTTTAAATTATAGCGCTAGACACGAAATCATATATAAATGATGTGCGCGGTTTCGGTTTTGTCACTGATATCATTTATATATGATATGCGCGGTTTGAGGGTTAAGAAAAGTCATGCGAATGAAAATAAAGCATGACTTATACTGTACCTTATTAAAAAAAAAATTGAACCAATGCCTTGAAAAGAGAAATATCTAATCTAGCTAAATTATTACAATCACCAGCCATAAGTCGATTGCAAACAATAACTATAACATATAGCAAGTACTGTGTACGGTGACCAATTAATCCCTACTGTCAAATAATTGGCAGTCCAGCAAGTCTTCCCCAACACATTTGGCGGGACCAAAGAGCCAGAGCTCAACCCCCCCCTGCAAGCACAACCAGGTGAGTACATTTGGAAGAACAAAACATCCTAAACCTGACATGATATGACTAAATGAAAAATATCCCTAATCTAGCAAAAATAAAATCTAGCTAAAAGTCCTGGATAGCCTTTTGCCACCAAGGTGTGTTCCTACTAAAACCACTTAACACATCAAAGTCCAAAGTCCTTCCTTCTTCAAAAATCAGGAGAGGAACACTTAAATCAAATTATATTGTGGTGGGCTGTTGTAGTGTGTTGACCTGCCCTGGCTGTGCATAATCCTATTCATGAGTTAGCAATTGAGAGTCCTGCTTTAAAAGGGAGTTTTTTTTTATACAGTGTATGTGTATCAAAAGTCTGATACATATTGTACTTGTTTTATGGTTCAGTACTCATATACTGTAGGAATTTAATATACATTCAATTCACCCGGGTTGTATGGGTCTCGAACCGTAGATCCCACGTGTGTGAGGCCGTAGTTCTATTAACTCGGCTATGAACCGAGTTATTTTATTAATGTACATGTGTAGTGTATTGGTTACAGTTTGTTTACATGTGGGCCGACGAGTTCCAGAACACCAAAATATTTGACCCAACTTTCACTTTTGTTTTCTCTGCAGATATGGGACGTGAGTGATCCTGGTGGTAAAGGGTATTTAGATAAAACTGGCCTATTTGTAGCATTAAAAATGGTGGCTTTGGTACAAAATGGCAAGGAACCCAACATGGCAAATATCAACACTCCGACTCCTCCTCCTACTATGGTAATATACGAATATTGAGCCTTTTTATTAGCGTAGTCCAGTATAATGCATTTTATTTAATGGCATGAACTTGCAAATTTTGTTGTATTTTGTATTGAGGTGAATTTTTTTGGTAAATTTTGAGCAAGCATGAATAGTACATGCCTACAGCTGCTTCACATTTCAAGAGTTCTACTCATCCCCCCCTTATATTGTCATTTTCATGCCAAAATAAGGGCCAAGCCTGGCCCAGGGCCAGGCTTGACTTGAGAGCATGGTATATTACATATTACCTCCATCCATATTCATTCATTTAATTAAATCCAGGGCTCTGCTAAATCTGGAGGTGTAAATATGTCGGTAACTTTTTAGTCATATTCGGGAGGGCGACAGGATGTATGGTGCGTGGGCAGATTGGTTGGGTGGTTGGCTGGCTGGCTGATGGATGGGTGGGGGCAAGTGGGTGGGCTATATGGATGGATGGAACTGGAACTGGCTCGCAGGCAGGCGAGCAGGTGGGAGTAGGGGGAAAGGTGAGTGGGAGTGTGGGGAGGAAGCCAGGCAGGCAGGTGAATGGGCAGGCAGGGACAGGTGGGCAGGTGCACATGCCACCTGATGGACAAGTAAAAGTGTGGGGAGGCAGATTGGCTGGCTGGCTGGCGAGTGGATAAGCAGAATATAATATGCTTCGTCTTTCCAACCATGTTCAGCAAGTTATTTTTGTTTTTATAGCAATTATGTCCAGGCATTTTGTGCTGAATTAGTTTTAAACTAAAAAGAGATACAGTGCCTCACTCATTTTCGAATTCTTTGTATCCTCCTCTTTATTTTGGCTGCAATTTCTTTTTCAGGGTGAACCGCCTCCACATCCACCACCACCTACCAAACCCCCGCAGCCCCATCAAGCAGCGGTTGGAGGGGTGTGGATGATAACTCCGGCTGACCGGGCGCGCTATGACCACATTTTTAATTCGTTGGGACCAGAGGCAAATAAACTTCATGGCAATAAGGTAAATTCAGGTATCATTTGTTATTTAATTTTAAGATGTTAATATTTTTGTAATCCTTTTTTAACATTGGATGTATGTTGTGCCAATTTATTTTAACACTGAATTTTTCTTACTTTGATTCCTGAAGGTTAGAAGTGTGATGCTCAATTCAAAGCTTCCCATGGAAACACTCGGCAAGATATGGGACTTATCGGATATGGATAAAGATGGTTCACTCGACAGAGTAGAATTTTCCCTCGTAAGTACATTACAACAGTATGACCAATTAATAATGTATTATTACTTCTTGGTGTATTTATTTAGTTTCATTATATTAAATCACCCATTTCTTATAACACTTTTCCATTTTTTCTGGGCTTGTGCCTTATCATTCCATGAAAATAGGAAATGGGGTAACGACTAAAACTTTGTAGGATTCTTGGGTTAAAATTACAATGGATTGTTAGAGGGGTGTGAATTTCCTCTAGGTTTTGGAGGCCAAGTAGAAATGAAAAGCATAATAGGTTATTCCTCTTATCACTGATGCACTGGAACAGAAAGCTAATACCTTATGGGACTAGTTGTTTTAATAAACCCATCTGTTTGGAGGAACTTGTGACAGTTTTGCCCCATTAGCTAAAGATTTCCAATACTAGTATGATAGTGGTATTAATGGCAAAACCCCTTAATTTAAGCTGTGTTGAGTATGTCTTCTTTAGTAGGCTATGCTGAGCACTGCCACACTATTGGCCATCACTGAAGAGGATGTAGGTGCCAGCAACAAAAGATTCACTTGTACAGTATTGTGGCTGGCTGGCTCGCTTGCTCGCTTATTATAGTTATATAATATACCAGTGAAGAGCAGGGGTGCCATAGGCACAATCAGAGAACACTATAAACATCAGAGGTCCACGGTTGTTCGACATTCTCCCATTGAGTATAAGAAATATTGCTGGAACAAACGTGGATGTCTTCAAGAAAGAAGTAGATACTGTAGTTTTCTTCAAGAAGTGCCGGACCAACCGGGCTCTAGTGGATGTGTGGGCTGCTCAAGCAACAGCCTGTTGGAACAAGCTCTCACAAGTCAAGCCTAGCCCCTACCTTGAGGTTACCTTGAGGTGCTTCCGGGGCTTAGCGTCCCCGCGGCCCGGTCGTCGACCAGGCCTCCTGGTTGCCGGACTGATCAACCAGGCTGTTGGACGCGGCTGCTCGCAGCCTGACATATGAGTCACAGCCTGATCAGGTATCCTTTGGAGGTGCTTATCCAGTTCTCTCTTGAACACTGTGAGGGGTCGGCCAGTTATGCCCCTTATGTGTAGTGGAAGCGTGTTGAACAGTCTCGGACCTCTGATGTTGATAGAGTTCTCTCTCAGAGTACCTGTTGCACCTGTGCTTTTCAACGGGGGTATTCTGCACATCCTGCCATGTCTTCTGGTCTCATGTGATGTTATTTCTGTGTGCAGGTTTGGGACCAGCCCCTCTAATATTTTCCACGTGTAAATTATTAAGTACCTCTCCCGCCTTCGCTCAAGGGTTCCCCAGGCCAGGTTTGGGGAGTAAAAGAACTCCCAAAACCCCATCCAGGTACAATCCAGTTAAGATTGATGATTATCCGATTATTATTATCCGATGATTATAACTGTGGACGTCTTCAAGAGGAGACTAGATTTTCCTCCAAGGAGTGCCGGACCAGCCGGGCTGTGGTGGGTGTGTGGGCCTGCGGGCCGCTGCAAGCAACAGCCTAGTGGACCAAACTCACTAGTCAAGCCTGGCCTCGGGCCGGGCTTGGGGAGTAGAACTCCCAGAACCCCATCAAGCAGGTATATGTGGGCCTGCGGGCCACTGCAAGCAACAGCCTGGTAAACCAAACTCTCACTAGTCAAGCCTGGCCTCGGGCCGGGCTTGGGGAGTAGAAGAACTCCCAGAACCCCATCAACCTGGTAACCTGGTATCCTGCAACAACGATTATTATATTAGTTGAGCAGAAGTTGCTTATTTCATTCGACCAGTTGCCTTGTTGTTGCATCTATGCTTTCTGGAGGGTTCTACCCTGGTTGTAGGTTGATCTTTGATCCCTAAGCTCTTCCTCTCTCATAGTCATCCAAATTCTGGTTTCTTGTGGGTGATGAAACGGTCTTGTAGGCCTGGTGGGTGGGTGGGGGGGGTTTCTAAGGCTTATACACTCATACTTAGACAGTGAATCTGTTCCAGGGTATAAATATGGGGAGTTACTGAGGGAATGCCTCTCCCCAAATTTATTGTTCACTGCTAAAATCAAGTTTTGCGAGATGGCTCCAAACAGTTACTCCATTATACAAAGGTCTAGTCATCTGGCCTGCTAAACAGGAATTTGACTGTTGTGGCTCTGAAGTATGGCGGTGAGAGAAGAAAACGTCACCCAACGTGGTAGATCAGATACATCGGATAATACACGGCATTCATATTCAGCACAACATGGCCAAAATCTGTGGTATATTTGTTCCTGTTTATATGTTGCTGCTAGTTGTCTAGTTGTCATTTACTATAATACACACTATGGGTAAATGCCACTTTTGCCGTGTTACATTCTGCAGTACTGCACTATATATAGTTGGCTGTTGATGCCTCGGTTACTTTTAATACAACACTTGTCTTCATACAAAGAGGATCTTCTAAATACTAAGATTTCTACTCTGCATTACTACATAGAACATTCTACTAAAGGTACATTTCTCTTCGACAGGCAATGCATTTAATATATAAGGTTTTAGAAAACAATCCATTGCCACCATCTGTGCCACAAGAAATGCTGTCCAGTGCACAAAGGGCAGGTGTGGCGCAGGGTCCTGTGCCGGCACCCCTGGCACCACCTCAGATGCCTCCGCCAAATGTCACTAAACAGCAACCTATCAAGGTAAGTGAAATGAGATTTAGTATAATGTTTTGATTATCTCGGTAATTTGTTGGCTACCCAATTTTGCAGGCCTTAATTTTAGTTTATTTTGCAAGGCTTGCAGTCGCTTTTTGTTGTGCAGTAATTTAATCAAATTTGTCCGATTGTTGTCTGTCTATTTTTCTGGGTTGGAGACTCGGTAGCTCTTTAGTGAATTGGCTCTGGTATCAGAGATATCCAGAAAACTACCAGGCCTTTGGGATTATTCAGGAATTGAACACCAGAACAAGAATCTGATGTGCTTTTAGAGGCTAAGGAAGAATGTGGATCTGACATTGGCCTCTAAACCCAATAAATCCATGAAGATCTGAGATTGGCCCAAAACTGTCTGGGTAGTCTGTTTGCCAGACCTGTTGAGGAGAGTTGATAAAGTTCACTGTGTACAGTACTTGATAAACAAACAAAATGCTGTTAATGGTTGTAGTCCCCTTGCCTGTGATTGGCTCAAGTCATGGTGAGGAAGTTTGCAGCAGTTTGGATAGTGCTTCTGTGCATCACTCTGCTATCCAGTTTCACTGGATAGCAGAGTACCGATTACACTTTCGTGGTGCACTACCTCAACAGAGTTCCAATTGCTCCTTTTCCTTGTGGGGATTGACTCTGACTTTCTCGAGGCTTAGTTCTAAGTATGGTCCACATTCGGGTGTAACCAATATTCTTACTGATAGCCTAATTTGGAATGGGATGTGATGTGAACATATCCTCTTTTCATTAGATATGCAAGTCTTCCTCTGCCTTCCTTAGGGGATCTCTTCGGCTCCGCATGGAATTATGAGTTGCATATTTGTTGCTCCTTTTTATAATTGTGAAGCTCTTGTGAATAATTTTTGCTTGGATTAGAATTAATGGAACTAACTTTACCTTTCTTCTGGTCCAGATACTCCTAGTGTCGGACTGATTGGAGACATTTATGTGCCGTCATTGTGGCTAGTTCAGCACTGGTTCTGGCTCTCCTCATTTGTCTCGGTTCTTTTCTGTTCCTAGGAGACAGTTTCTCGCAGACGATTGGTGCACAGACTTGTTGGTTTGGGTTTATCCACCGATATTCACATTTGGAGTTTTTGAGCTGGGGGCCAGGCTCGGCTCAAGTAGAACAACTGAAACCCTCTCCACATATGCTCTAGGTATACTTGTCTCTGCTTTTCTAATTGCAAACCCAGCACATGGAATTATTTGCAGGTGGTTACCATGTGTGAAAAGGATTCTGTATGAAATGACCTCTTCAAAGAAGGGTATTTGTTTATTTATCAAAAAGTACTAAGTAGGTAATAAAGTACTAAGTATTGATTTTTAAGAAACTGGAATTGACCAGTGAAGTACAGCTAGATGACTGTTTTACAAGACGATAGTACAATTTTCTTTTCTAAGAATGGTTGGGATGAGAGTAATCAGATGTTTAGAAGATATGATTATTTATAAGAGAATACTAAAAGGCAATTTGGAGGACATAATGGGCAAGAAATCCATTATTTAAAATGGAGGAGCATGAAAAGTTTGGTGGTGTTTCATTCATAAAATTTGCATTACTTAGCATAATTATTGTTTTGATAAGGGATTGTTTTTAATAACTTTCTTTTATCATGTATGCTTTATTGAAGCTTTCATGCCTGATGTTTCATTTAAGTGCATGAGGAAACTGTTTTAAACTCCATAGTCATTGCTGTGATTTTTTTTTTTTTTTAATCTGTGAATGTTAATAAATTTGACTGTAAATTATGCTGCCATATGTTCACTCGTTAATTTTTCTTTTGGCTAGATTTTTCTTTCTTTTGCTGGGAGGATGATGCTTCACTGAATTTTAAATTGCACATTTATATGTTAAACTGTTCTGTTAAATTTTTGCAGAGGATTTCATTTTGCTCCTTATAAAGGCATTTTTATGATGATGCTTAAATAATGATTTTCGTGCTTTTTTAGGACAAGTTAACCTGTGAGGTTGAGGCCACCTTGGAGACTTCTGCTGAAAAAGTTAGTCTGGTTGTGTTGTAATGCCGTATGAAAGTATCCTCGACATTGGATCACTTTCAACCTTTGTTTGGTGGAAATTCCGTAAAAGATCTACTAACCGGTCTTGTGTACCACAGTCATTTAACAGCCCGTCATCCCATCATCAAATCTAAGCCTGACAAGATTTTTTTTTTTTTAGACTGTGGTTATTGTATTGGTCTTGTTTTATTGCATGCATTTAAAGCTACTGTAGAAAGTTTCTTTTTGTAATTTTGGAAGAACTATTAATTAATGCCCTTATCATGATTTAATTTAAATTTGTTTATAATTGTGTGCAGTTTGGCTGAAAGAATTATTTTTGTAGAGGGGGTGTTAATAAGAGAATTCCAGTCAAGTGCTGAAAACAGGACTTCAGTAACGGTTAAATACACAGTATATGTTGTACATTTGTAATTACATGCCACCAGAAATAATTGATAATGAGCTTGTGGAACAAGATGTATGTAATATGGTGTTTAAACAATTTGAGGCATGTTCTGACAACATGCTTTTGCAAGATGTTTAAGATGGTCATCAATTGAAATCCTTTTTCCTCTTCCATTTGTGTTAGCCTTCAGGTCCTCCTCCAGCCCCCTGGGTGATCAGTGCAGCAGAGAAGGCCAGATATGATGTTATGTTTCACAATGCTGACCTTGATAAGGATGGCTACGTGAGTGGACAGGAGATTAAAGGGGTTTTTCTTCAGTCTGGCCTGCCACAGATGGTTCTTGCACATATATGGTAAGGATAGGTGTCAAGTCAATAGTAGCTTGAAGAAACGTTCCTTGCTTGATTTGTGAAAGAGTTGTTTGTGAAAGAGTTGTCCCATGTTTATTACTAATTGTTTGTTACTGCGTCTGTGAACTTTGGTTGTGAGACACGCACAAACACGAGACAAAAT